TGCTCCAAGACCTACTCCTGTGGTTTATAAGATAGTTGATAATGCAGTCACAAAATTAGCACAGACTTCCTCAGGTAACATTAACTTCACATGCAGATTAACTACACCAAGCCAAAAACATCCAATTCCTAGTCTCTTACATGATTATTAACCTGTAAAACCAATGCATTTTAATCACCTGCAAAACCATTTCCATTCTCACCCAAGCCACAAGAGAGAGCTACTTCACAGGCTCTAGCCACACTTGTAGGATCAAAAATGCCATAGGGCTGCTGAACGATACATCAAAGGACCATTTTTCTTCACTCATCACTCCAGTAGCAGCTTCATCCAGCAGCAACAGTCATGATGATCCTGTGTCGTGTTGGGGTACCCAGCTGCCAGTACAACGAAAATAAATACAACTGCAGCAGCCTGAAATAGCAGCTAGAGAAAGAGAGGGAATGTAAGCTTTAAGAGGTGCCTGAAAACCTGCTGTCTGTTTTGGAACTGTTTTGGAAAGGAAGGAAGATGCACTTGCCAAAAAGCCTTTGATGAGAAGGCAGTGGGCAGAGCCCCTTAGAAACTCAGTTTATAGCACTCAAGGGACATTGATTAAGCACAAATAGAAAGGACAGGATAGTGTCATCTTCACCTGTCCTCTGTGAGGACCCATCAGAAATAAACAGTCTTCAGAACAGCTTCAGAAGCTCAGACCAGAAATCCACAGCTCCCCATGACGCAGTGCCAAACACCTCCAGGTTTCTAAATTCACTTCTCTGCTCCCAAATCCAGCCAAACCGCTGTCATTCTCACATCACCAACAAATAGCCTCAGCCCAGAGACCCAAAGGCCAGATTCTTACACCAAATCAATATGTAATGGCAGCAAAAACATCTTTTCCCAAGAACTTATTGAAACAGAGCGAGAAACTTAACCGCAATTCTCTCAAGTCTCAGACCATCCCTAAGATGGGACTCCCTCCCCATCCTTCCCTACCCCTTAACACAGGGGCAGAGGAAGCCTGGAAACAGTCCGTGAGAGCAGCACTTGCATCATGAAGCATTGCTGCTCCCTGACATCTTATTCCATCCTGCAAGGCTTCGTTATACTTGCAAGCACTACTGCATGGAGAAGCCGGAGGACGCAGATACTGCGCTTCTGAGATCACTAAGACAACACAAGACATGTGTTGACCCAGACATACTTCCCTAACTACGTACTTATTCCTACTCAGCATTATGGCATGCTGGACCTTGGAAGCTCTCTGACTTGCATGAGAAACGTCCTCCCTCATCCCCAGCTCCATGGGAATCACACTGATGGGAAGCTTACTGAGCAAAGCACAAAGCAGAAGAGTAGGCAGGAAAGGAGTTCCTACATTGGGGTTAGCCAAGTTCAACGAAGCAGTGTTGAGAAGCATCACCTATGTTGTCAGGCAAGAGATGAGCTGTCTACCACACTGGGATTGTGTTTAATGAAGATGAGAAGAAATTCCAGCATATTTAAGAGCAGACATCAGGAAATGGCTAATACTTCATACCTTAACACACAACAGACTACCAAGGTGCATCCATTGGCCAGGCAAGAACATACAGCCCAGAGCACACTGGGAATGATACATGGCATGCTAGAAATGCTGCAGTCTCTGGAAACCCAACTCTAAACCTATGAGGTAGCCAAAATTTACCTTGTCAGTTATTACATGAAGCCAAAGCCATTCACAACTCTGTTTCTACCTGGAAAGTAGATACTCAAACAAGAACCATGATGAAAGAACTGAAGTTACATTTACAGTGCTGAGGACATAGGCTTACAGCCTTGGGGACAGGCCACTGCACACTGCAGCAAACTGCAGGTCACTGGGCCACATGGGAGGAATCCAACCCACGCGACAGGACACCAACAGCAGCAACGGAAAGGAGTGCAAAGGACGACCAAAAAGCCAACCGCAAAGGCACAGAGAGGCTTCTCCAGGTGCTGTCCTGGAGGAGCACAGTGGACTCCAGCAGAAGGGAGACAAACCCAGACTCCAAACGACCGGCCTAGCATCCTGCAAGCGTAACATGCTTTAAGGCAGGAGAAAAAGACAGTGATTTGAAAAAAAAAAAAAAAAAAAGAGTGCGCAGCTGTGAGAAGAACCTCAAAAAGAAACTCCATGCAGCAGTTTAAAACAAATAAAATAAGTTTTATATGCATATGCAACAAACAAATAAATGTTTTATATGCATACGCACATACAAAAATATACACGTAAGTACTTATGGATGGATATATCTAACTGAAAGATTAATAGATAATCACCAGACAAGTTAATAAACAGTTAATTCTAGAGCTCAGCAGATTGCTTATGAGCACCTCCAGCACTTAGAGCAGGGAGCTCCTGGGCCGCAGGAAACGCCTCGTTGCAAGCGGGTATTACATTCACCTACGAATCACTTGCTAACTCTTGCACTGAATTTTCAGAGGGGTAGTTTAAAAGTGACCTTAATTTACCCGGGAGAGCAGACTTCCCTTCCGGTGATGTTTGCATCCCAGCACCACAGTAAATGATCCTCAGTCCTGTAGATTGATAGTGACTATTTATTTGCTTTTATTAAGAGATCAAGGATTCCTCTGAGCCAGAGGAGACTCTGAGGGGCATTTTCAGCTCCAGCAGCTGTAGCAAAACAGCCCTCAGGAAAAGAGGCCCAGTTTCCCCTCTCGGAGGTGTCCTCGCATCAGTCTGGTAGCACATTCAGATTAAGGTTACTCATTCCCAGCCACAGCAGAGTATTAATTAAAACCACTGAGGGCCACACCGGTGCTGCTGGAACGTGGCCCCAGCCCAGTGCCATCGCAGGGGGCCCTGTCCCCATCTGCCCTGCCACAAGTAGCAGCACTGCCAACTCCCTCGGCCATCGGAGAAGCATCTTCCAGACGGGATCGAGGCACAGGCAGGCTGTGCCACCGTGGCAGGTCCTTCTCTCACCTATCCAGGAGCATCTCAGCCCCAACAGCCTGCGGTAGCAGAGGCAGCTGCAAGCAGGAGCGCAGCCCCAGGCTGCAGCTGGAACGTCAGCCGGCAAACACCCGGCCGCAGGCCTGGCCGCCGGCTGGACCGGGATCCGCTGAGCCACCTGCCCTGGGAATCAGGGCTGCACCATTGACCTGGGAAGCCAACAGCATAACTTGGTGATATCCTCAGTTTTTCACTTTTCATTTAACACTTCCAGTATTGCCATTTTAAGCCCCTTTTCCTGCCTTACCTCCTCCAAACCAGGGTATGCAGATAAGACCTAACGCCAGCTCTTCCTCCCATCATTTTCTCCATCCGATAGGGCACTCTCTGACATGGGCCCACTCTCCAGCAGCGGCATCCTCGTGGAGTTTCCCATGGCTTCCCCGACTTCCCCAGCAGGTCTAAAGCTCCAAGCGAGGGTGCCGCATCCCTTCCAAGCCCGAAGGCATGAGCGCCTCCCGCCAGGGCGCATTCGCCCTCACGGGCGGCTGGTGCCCACCGCGCTCCACAGTGGCATTACCCCTGCGGCAACCTGTGACTCGGCCCGACCTGAGATACCCCTGGAAACGCAGGTTCCAGCAGCGGTCCGGGAGATACACGTGTGCTAAGAGCTTAGTGCGCGCAGCATCTTGCAAGCGCTTCCAGTGATCCCTGGGGCTAGCAAGAGCCCTTACATCCTCACACAAACACCCTCCACCCGGGTCTTCCCATCCATGGGATGTTCCACATGGTGCAAGCGGCTGAGAAGGAGCCCGAAGCCAGAAGGCTCTTTGTTCACTGCAACATGTGGCTCGAGCGCACGGAGAAGCTACCTCGGACACTGTCCTGGGAAGGGGAACTCATCCTGCACAGGGAGTCTAAGGGGAGGCACGTTTAAAAGGCCAACTCATGCTGAGATGAGAGGTCAACATGGGCGACCCCCAAAGGTGGTGGGAAGTCCCCTAGACGGGGTCGGTTTAAGTCAGCGATGGGAGCAGCTTTCCCTGGCCACAGTTTCGCTCCACCCAGGCTCAAGTGTTTCCTCCCTCCTTGTGGTTTTCCGTGCAGTGCCGATGCCCGCCTGGGCCCTCCCGGGAGCGCAGGGCCTCGCGCCTGCCGCGCGTGGGTCTGACAAGCCCTGCGTTAGACCGGCCTGAGCCACCCCAGCCGCTTCCAAAGCGCTTCCCCCTCCCCGGTGCACACCCTCTTGCTGGGACCCTTCTGTCCTCTTCGAGCACGCCAAGCGCGGCAGCCCCCCAGGGCGGCACCAGA